CTATAAAGAATGAAAATAAATACCATTTCAGGAGAAAAAAATGAATTTATTTATTCAGTCGAAACTACGTTATTGTTTCCCTCGATGGTTTGTTGGAAATAATCATGCGAAATATTATAGATGTTGTAAAAGTTGTCAAGATTATTAAGTTATTCAGTATACACTACAGTACTTGCAGTACTGTTATCATTTTGAATGTTTTTACATAAAATATCTGTAGAATGATATAACTTTACTTAGAAATGAACACCATCAGCTTATAGGATCTAGGAGGAGTGCGATACTTTTTCACCAAAAATGAGATATAGTGTTCTTTCAATGCTCATTTTTCTTAAAAAAAAATAAAAGTATATCCATTTTCCCCAACACATTTTTATCAGTATATTTTATGAAAATCTCATGTTAATATTATATATTTAAAAAAATACTTCTACTTAACCATTTGTATACTACATTATTTTAATTTGAAGTTATTTTAGTTCTAAATTAAACTTAATTCTGCAGACATCAACATATTTTATTATATGTTTAGATCACAACGATTTTTAATTTGAATTTATTTCATACTCAATGTTTGTAGATTAGTATACCTACATAAAAATATTCCTGACCAGAATATGAAAATGATAAATAGATATATTCAAATTAATATAAGAGGATGAAAAGCTTTTACTTTGATGATGGGGGAAAGTGTATACAGTAGAGGAACACGGCAGGTATCTAATATTTGGAAGAAAATAGAAGTATAAAATAGTAGCAGAAAATAGTGACGGCCTAGGAGAGCACCAGCAAAACAATTTCTACCAAATATGAATAGGTACCTATACCTATGGAGAGACATGGCAGCAGGTTATCGCCATAAATCATAATATTATTCCAACAACACTGCGATCGTAATAGTGCGAATAATAATATAATAGCGCGGTACGGTATAAGTGTAACAAATGATGTAATAATAATAATAATAATAAAATATTCGGACCGGGCGAACGGCCTATTAAAAAATGTTTAGCGTGTATTCGAGAAACGGTCGCACTAGATTCGTGCGGCAGTTAAAATAGCGAAATTGCCCGGGCAGATTTTTCTTGACGGGACGACCGCGTCGATATAAATAAAATATCAAAAACCACGCACGTGGTACTAAAACCAGTCAAGTGAATATAATATCGCACGTACACATTAAACGTACAGGAACCCTTTTCATGGTGTCACGCTCGTCGTTCGCTCGCGTACATTGGAGTATTTTTTTGTTTTATTTTTATCTTTTTTACACTCATATACACGGTATATATACATATTTTTTTGTATATATATTTTTTTTTTTGTAATTAAAAAGAGAAATGTCCGAGTGAGCGTGTGTGTGTGGTACATATATGCGTTTGAAATGTAATTGTATCTAACCTTTTGTCCGAATTATGTCAGCGGTGCTTCGACCTGCGGTCACCCCCGCGAACAAATCGAATTTCGACATCTGCCCCCGTCAATAATAATAATAATAGTAATAATAATAATAATAATATCAACTATAGGAACTGTTTTCGATTTACTGCTCTCACGGTTATACATTTTTTAAATTGTCTGGCTGCTGCTCATACATAGATTTTTACATTTAACAGTTTATATAATACCTATACGCGCCATAATGAATAATTTTTCATCGGGGATTGTCAATTATTTTTGCTGTCACGCATGGGTTGGGCTGGCACGATAGTATAATACATAATAATATAAAACCCGGTATCCGTGTGCGCGTGTTAAATGACATTATTGTTTAACAGCTGCAGCTATTGTATTATACAGAGTATATAGACGCAAACGAGATTAGCATACTCCATACATATATATATTCCATCGCAATTTATTTATTTTGAACGAGAATACTGCAATTTCTTAATTAGTTTAAATGGTTCGAATGTAATTAATTATACGCGTTTAATCGTTATTTACACCCGTATACTATTAGGCACCTACTATATATCATAGTTGTATGCACCGATATGTAGGTATTTAATACGATATGATGTATTAAAAAGGTGTTACGAATAATATTATGACGACGACGACGACGTCGGCGGATGATACAATTTATTCGAGCCAAACTTGAATCGTTATTCGTTATTAGTGTCAATAAAATGTATTATTGTATTCGAATGCTCGACATAACTATAATCCATTTTACCGCATTAGTTTTAATATATAAACCGTTTCATAATTTTAAATATTATCAACTTATACGATGCATTGCAATCCAATACAAACTGAGACTGCCAAAATATTATTGTTTAATAAAACTTTTAATAATAATTTCACTTATGGCGTTTATTATTGTTATTACTATTTAATAATAATTCGAAGATTTATATAAGAAGCATCGCTACCGCAGCCGAGTCAATTGTGTGAGTATAAAAGTTTTTATTTTTTATTTATAATATTTTATTACTGTCAGCATTGTACGCTTTTTTTCAAGTCATCAACGGCAACGGTTTGAAACCTCACAATTTCGGTAATTATATTATTTTAATCCTCCGAGGCACAACCAATGAAATAACACTGGAAAGTTTTTTAAAAGTTAAATTTTACGTCGTCTTGCACAGTATAATAAGTAATAACAATGTGTCATTGCAGCGTAAGAAAAACTTTGACTTTCAATCAAAATATAATTGCCTGTATACAATATAAAACGATATTTGCATAGGAATAATACATGTTGCAGTGTTACGTATATAAAGTTGCCTCTGAATATTTTCTTAAAAATTATCCACATAAAATACATATATATATTTTTAACGATACAGTAGAATTCGTTTTATATTTACAGCACATCAGTACTGCTGCGAAACATTTTAAAATAATGATAGTAGGTAATAACACAACACGGTAAATAGATTGCGGAGTAACACGCAATCTATATTATCACTGGCTCGTCTCATAACACTGTTCATATACACAATTTGTGCATATATAATATTATATTGTTATAACAATATTATATGCAAACACACACCCACCGACCCATCAATCCATGTAAATGCATATTATATATATAAATATATTATATTATATGTGTTCTGTACTTGTGTACCGTAGGTAAGTATATAGTAATACAGTAAATTATAATATGTCGTGGAGTATTTTAAAATAAACTGAAGGCGAGTGGGCGTCGACCGTTTTCACGAACACATTTTATAATTAAAACGATATTTTGAAAAAAAATAATCGAAAGTGTTTTAAGCTTCATTTGAACGTATATTTTATTCGTATAATATGTATATTGTGCCAACGATAACGAGGACGTCGACATTGAGGAACAAATAGGATCAGAATTTCAGCATGGTATGGCACGTATTATGGGACTATGAGAGCGTCACGTCAAGTGAAATTCTTCGATGTTGACAGCTATAAAATGTATATATAGAAAGAATTGACTATAGGATTAGGATCAGGATCGATAGTGGGAACAGGAGCAACAACAGCTAGGCTATTGTATTATTAAACTTTTTTTGATTGACCATAAACGTATATTATATAGTATATACTCTACATAGTATATTTTATACATTAGTTATATTGCATATACAATGGGGGGGGGGCCTTATTCTTGAAATGTTTTCATTAAATTTAATAAAAAATTAGAGCGTTTACAAAAAAATTTACAAGACATTGAAATATGTAGAACTTAAGTATATTATCTATAAAAAATGCTTTTAGATAATTTCTTTTTTTTTTTTATGGTTATTCGTATGTATTTGACGAGCTGTTGAATTTGTATGGCTTTTAAATTTGAACATTCTGAAATTATATTATATTACTTAATAACACATACTGTTTATTGTATTCCCTCTCCCTACCATCTCAAGGTGTACCTGTACTTACAAGTTACAACGCAACGAGATACTTGACCGAAATTCGTTCAAAAACTCTCTAGCACGAGTGTTAGGTTAACCTGACGAACATTTTTATATGATAGTAATATTAATAATAATAATAAAAATAATAATATAAATACTTTACATATTTATACAGTGATGTGATGTTAAATTATAACAATTAATTTTTAGTCGACCCCGATAGACCATCATTACATGTAGGTGTTGATAATACGTGCAAAACAACGTAACGTACAGCGGTCCACTCTGTATAACCGCCTTGAACATTTCCCATCCGACGACAGTCCCACTGCGTTGTGGTTTTTTCCCAGATTTTTCCACCCTTACTCGACGTATGATAGCTATAGGTACCGCATGTCGGTATACGGATTTTATTATTGCACCGTGTTTTTTCCCTACAGTATTTGCTCTACCTGCCGTTCCCGAGGTATTCGAAACGAATACAAACATGCGCGTAAACAACAAAATCGGATAAAAACAAACGGAAATCTCAAATCTGTCCTTTTGTAAATAATTTTATTACATTTAAACATATACCTATGTATTCTTTGCTGTGGGACATGCGTATACGTTGTATAATATTATATTTGTTTGACACATATTCGAAACTTTCTACCCGTCGTTGTCGTGATCGTCCATCGCGTAGTATCTTATATAGTATTCGAACCACCGTGCATAGGTTGCGAGAGTTAGATTAAATAAATCTCGAATCCGATATGTAGACTATTGTGGACTTTTCCAAATAGGTCCTACGATATTTTTGTTTATGTCAGATACACTCATTTTCACGTGGCCATCTTTTATTTTCTTAAATACGATTTTGAAAAGTGTTTTGTGTTTCTTTAATGAATTTAACTACAATTACTCGAGACATTCCCTGCAACTGTATTTAATTCCTGAGTATATTATAATATATTATATTCAACTCTTTAAAACAAATCCCACCTCAACATATTATGCCATGCACTCAAGTGTATGCGTTTTTTGGTGAAGGGGAATGGAAATTGTCGTTTTTTGTTATTTTTTGCAAGATGCTTGCCATTTGATAATTCTGTTTTTTTTTTTAAATATCTCAGTGTAATGGTTGTTAAATAAATTATCGTTTAACATTACTTGTAACGCTTCAGCCTCGTCACGTCTCTCGTCCTCGGTGTTCATCGTGACAAACCTGAGCACCAATAGGTCGAGCGACGCTGCCACTACTGCCAGCCCGAACAGAATGAATATCAACGTGAACGCCACGTACTCGAGTTTGTCGTTCAACGTGTTGTTCTTCTGTAAAGCCACCATGTCACCGAACCTAAGAAAAGTTCAAAATAAAAATTATCATAAATATAATATATACCTAACCTATAAAGGAGCCAATGCGATAAATAGCAAATGGGTAAAATCACTACAGCAGAGGAGATAAGCGAAGCAACCAGTGAATCGTCATCGATTCCACTTTTTGACTTGAGCAAACTATCAATAAATGCCATTATTTTTGAATGAGTATACATTAAGTGAAGGATGGATCAACTTTACGCGTGCGTTCAAGAGTTACGAAAAAATTATGATTATATATAAAATAAAACGGTGTACAATGCCAAAAATAATTAATAATTTAAATATACATACATAATAAGTGTAGAGTAAAATATTTTATATTTGAATGGCAACATTTCTATTTTCTGACACGATAAATATGGTTTGAAATAAAAATCATATTATAGAGACTTCTTGTTACACTTTATAAATAATACATTAGCTACAGGTACTTGCATGTAGACAACTACATTCAACAAGCTCTAGAAAACAGATTTTGTTGAGAAGGAAACATGAAAAAGTAAGATATTGTTATAATATTTATACACCAGGTTTTTTTTTTTATTTTCCCATATAAAAATGTTAATTGATTTCAACAATATTTTCGAAATGATAATAATAATCAATAACCTACTAATCTATACGTTTATTATGGTCTTTTGTAAATAATAATATTATGATGCCTGCATGGCTACATAGTTTATACTACATATTGTTCATTGAACAAAATAAACTATAAAATGAGCATATTTTTTTTATGTACAAAATTCTACTGTTTATTTGATTTATTTTGTGACAAACATTGAAGAACGCTCTCTTTTTTGACAGAATAAACCTTATCCCTTTTCCACCAGACTAGATAATAATATTAGATTCTTTTTTTCACCAAAGGAACACTATTCTTTTTCTACCACGGAAAATATGAATAAATACATATTTTTATCTCTGAAATAGTTTTAAAATAATAATCCCAATACAATGATGAAAAATAGAACTATATAAATCAAGTTCAGTATACAGTAAAATAATTACAATGTTTACTTAATACAAATACAAAACACATAAATTATTAAATAGGTAGGTAGTAAGAAGTTTTTTAAGATGATTTATTATATATAACTTTCCATCTAAATAACATTATTGTAATATTAATATTTTGAGAATCCAATGAGGATATAGATTCTGGGTAGAGCAAGAATAGTATTGTTAAACATATACTTTAAAAAATGTTTTACTGTGAAAACTTTTTAAACTAAAAATGGTGTCTAAAAACTTTTTAAAGTATAACCTCTGTAGTTTTGAAATTGAGTTAAGATGGTACTTTGAAAAGGTAATTTTTATATTTTACCAATAGGTTCTTTTTTGTCTAAAGTAAAACAACCGTTCACGTCAAAAAATTCTGAAATAATTCAAGCGAGCATGGTTTTTAAGAAATTACGATTGTATAAGTGCTTTTTAAAGCGATACCAAAAATTGTTTTTCAAAGCCAATTTTCGATTGAAATGATTTATTACATTGTTTTGAATTCAATATCATAAAACACTACTAACAAGTAATAACCGATGAGAGTTTGAGTTGAAGAAAGTTGCAATGGCGTGTGCCAATATCGCAGACGTATATCAAGTTTGACTTATTGTGTTTTAACGTTATTCATGTCGATAATTAATTTTTATTGCACCAATGGTAAAATTATAATATCTATAACCTCTAGGAGGTTCAACAGTTTAAATTATTAATTGTCTAATTCAACAGATGCAGTATATACCCAGAAGTCTGTAACTATATGATAAAGATATATAATATATATATTATAACGCATGTATTATTATTTAGAAAAATTGTAACTTAATAATATATTATTTATTACAACACTAATTAAAAAATATAAATACATTTTAGGTATAGGAATTGTAACAATATCCAAGTATATATTAAGATATATTTATTTTGTACAAAAATGTGTACCTACATACATTATTAGCATCTAATTATCATACATTAAACACACAAATTGTTTTACCAAAAAGCTATCGTTAATTAATCATATTACTATAATCTATAGTGCAAAATTAAATTATACACAGTAATTTAAAAACATGCATGTATTTAATATTAATGATGAATTAGTGTTATAATATTAGTTTTTAGTTTAATTGTATTATAATATACGTAAGTATATTAAAATATGTTTTTATTTTACAAAGTTAAGATAGCAACGAAAACAAAATAAAATAAATAAAAACATTTTCAATAAAAAAAAATATTAGCATTACGTTGAATATTGATCAATTAAAACGTTATGAACATTTACTAAAACGTATCGTTATGAACTTGATTTTATATGTTTAATTATTTCAAAAATAAAAGAGTTCAGTATGAAATTGATTTTCATAATAAAAATTGACGTACATGAGATCAATATTATTGCCACTACTTGCAATTAACTTTTTGTATAATAAATATGTATCGGTATCTAAAACTTTTTTGAAAACTACTGCAGAAATTACCACTTCAAAGTAGGAATCATCTGTGCCAAAATCCGATTTACAGAGAGGTTAGTTTTACCCCTTATAATGTATACAGTATAGTGTCTGAAGGGGCTATATATTATTGTTTTAAAATTAAATTTGTAGAGAACTCTTTTTATCCAAAAAAGTATTAATGGACAAACTAAAAAAAAAACAATGCATGAGTTATAATTGCAAATCAATAACTTTCGTTAATTTATAATTAAAAACCACATAACACAATCACCTACAATTTTTGGTCAAACTTAAAATATTGTTTGAAACTCAAAACAATATACATTACACATTTTAGTGGGAACAAATTCAAGAATTCACAGATCACTACAACGCAATACCATTTTGTTTTTCAAGCCGTTTAAACGTGCGATGGGTGTTGAAGTCATTTAATACAATATTATGATCATCAAAATATTCAAAACAATCATAATGGTCGTAATTATTATATTATAATATATGACAATACGTTACAACGAGCAAGTGTTGATAATATTTAATTGACACTTATTTTTTGTTTTAATTTCAATTTGGTATGTGAAATGTAATAATATAGTTTTGTATGTAGAGTGTAAAGTTTAAATAGTACCAACGTATAAATAGGCAAGCAATAGGTGAGGGTCGTGGGTTCTGCATTTCTATATGGGGTTCTAGTCGTATCGGCAGATTATTACGGTTAGGTCGAATTATTAAGCTCCGGTCATTACATTATTATAGGTAAAAATAAAACTACTATAATAAAAAAGCAATCATACAATTTTCACTTTGTCAGCAGTATGTTATATTTATTTGTATCGTGTATTAATGTAATACATATTACACGTTGATTTAGTACAGAAATTGGTTTTGCGAACGAAGCGTATTTTAACTTTAGGATAATGGAGTACAGCAAAGCGGTTACAGTGGCTTAGGTAATCAGGGTCGGGCAATAAACGATAACAATAATAATAAAATCATGCACTATAATAATGGTAGAATGATGATAATATTTATTTGTTCGTAACTGGTCGTAAACAATCGGACCACTGCGAGGGAGATACGCTATAATATCTACAGATAACGCGAAAACATCGTCGGGGGACTATTTTCTGATGTAGGTAGGTAAAGTTAGGTTAGATAGGGTACCTATAATATATAATACAGAGTACATCCCGATCATTATCATCATAATCTTCATCATCACCAACATAATATTATATGTTATTGAGTGAACTATGCATATATTTATTGTTGTATGAATATTATAGTTGTAATTATTATTATTGTCATCGTCGATAAATGTATACTTTGGTCGTGTTATACCGAATAAATATATGTGTGGGTGTTTTGTTAAGTTACCCGATGGTGGTGAGAGTGACGAAGCAGTAGTAGACCGAGTCAAAGTACGTCCAGCCCTCGTACGTGGAGAACGCCGTCGCGCCGCCCGCGATTGTCAGACTCGACAAAAAGGACACGACGAATATGAGATTGATCTCGGTAGCTTCGGTACGCTTGCAGCCAAGTGCCCTCTTCGCCTGTCTGATCACCACGGACGAGAATTTGTTCAGCTGCTCGCCGATACTCTGGAACATGACTAGGCCCAGCGGTATGCCCACCATCGCGTAGAACATGGTGAACAACTTGCCGGATTTTGTGTTCGGCGTCGAGTGCCCGTAACCTGCAGGAGGTGTAAAAGATTTCAGGCAATTAATATTATACAGAGTGTACCTGAGAGATTTTATAAAAAATTATTTAAATGTGACTCCGGTGTATAAAATGGTTAAATCCTCCAGACACGCCCCTACGTAGTCAACAGATCGCATTATCCTGCAAAACTCCCGGGTATGAACACTGAAGCATAAGGCGAGGGCAGGGAAAACTTTTTTATACAAGGACTACGATTTTGGATTTCGTGCAATATTTCAGTATGTCGTATAAATTATGGGGGAGGAGATACTTTGGTATATTAAATATATTTATGTCGAAAAAAAATATGTGAGACGAGGGTGTTTTAGTGTTTGAACCTTTCAAAGAAGGGCATTTATGCTGCGACATCATGTATTTTCTTATATGGACAACTTGCGGATTCCAAATTTCCCGACTCAACCTAAATCAGATGACATGATGCCAATTATTGTATATGAAGCGTAATATATACATATGTAATATAGTGGGATACTGGGGTATTATTAATTATGAAAGTTATAGAGTTTTCCTGGACAATCTCCTAATGAATTAGTTTCGATCGAGTTTAACACTCGGTACTTTTTATGTTAGTTTCATCTGTGGCGTCGTAGTTCTAAAGCATTATTGAGAATACCCAAAAATTAATAATTATAATAATAATAACATTTATATCTGAATTATTTAGGTATATGTATTACAGTTACCGTAAATGGTTTTTCATCAAACGAGATAAAATTAATGAAAATAATGATAACTCATTTTTCGATCAATTGAAATAAGGAGTGAACGTAAATTTAGAGCACTGACACTCAAAGAGTGTCAATACGAATTAATTGACATTGAATAATGTTCATAGAATCGATGTTATAGAAGCAGAATTAATGGTTAATATACATTTTTTTTTATTAATTGTTTGAGGCATCAACTACAAGGTTATTAGCATTATTAGGATGTTACATTAAAGAAAAGAAAAAAAATGTACAATAAATTAAATTGTACTAAATTACTTAGTTACCAATGGTTAATATTGTTCATATTTTATTAAAGTATAAAGAAACAAAAAGTGGTATACAATCAGTATGAAACAGTTGCAATTTATTTTTTATCGATTTTTAAAAAACTGTTTATTTTAAAAATGTCATAGTTTTTTTGTCAGTATATTAACGTTGTACACCCCCACGCATGGTTCAAAATAATTAATTTTCTTTTCAATTGTTTTTATGGAAAATTTAAATTTGTCTTTGAGATTTTTTTTATAATATACAAATAATTTTTAATATGATTCTTAGTGAGTAATCGTATTATTTTGATATTCGAATTATTAAACATTATACATTATTGTAAAGTATTATAATATTATACAGAAATGAAATAAATAAGACACAAAAATATATATTGCAGATATCTGCTGTAGTATAATAATTAATAAGTAATAAGTAGTAACTAATAATGAAATAACGCTCTAATAGTCTAATGTTTAACTTTTTTCTTCAACCACAATAGTAAACATTTATCTTCATGGGGGCTATTTGTCAGTGATGAGTAATCCACCGATATTTGTTTTTACAATGTACCTAATTGCCTTTATAGGGTTTGTCATATTTTAAGACAGACAATAGTTCTTTGTTTGTATTTTTAATCAATGTTAGTAATTGTAATTATTAAACTATGTAAAATAATTTAATATTATTTCGGTTTTAAAGTATAAATAAATTGTCACGCATCAGTGATCACATATCTTGATGCCTTCACTAGTCTCGTTCTTAGAAATCTACTTAGCCAAGAGTTCAATTAACTACTAACATTCACGAGTTTAGTCAGACCAATCATTATTTTTACTGACTCGAAGTTAAAAGTAGTAGGATATCACAAAAAAATCTTGAAATTGATATTGTGTGCCACGATAAAACGACCAACCGCTTGCATATTATTTTTAAGTTCTCAAGTACCTAGTATTATGAATAGTACTCATATATAGAAGGTAGCTACTATAGTATTCAACAATGGTAACCTGCATTTTATAAACTAGGTCAGGTATGCGGAAGGTTTAAGGAGAAAAACAAGTAACGACATATTAATAACGCATACCTTACTGAGAGTGCGAGATTCTTATTCGGTGGGAGTACGATTTTACCCACACAATCATGTAAAAATAATGCAATAAAATACTAAATAAAAAAATGGTCTCATACAATTTGAACATGAAAAATTGTTTAATTGTTGTATTCTGTTTATCTCCAATAATAACATTTATTGCGCATATTATATTTCATAACTCTAATACAAACAGTTCAGTGATTATAAGTTAAAGAAGTGTAAAATTATAAATCATTGGATTTAAGCTCGAGTATTATTATTGTTGAACAATGTTCAAAAGTATCAACATGGAAAAAATAAAATAATAAAAACTCAAAAGTTTTCATCTGAAAATGTTTTGTATTGTTACAGTGGCGTGTTGTTTCTGTTTTAAAAATTAAGTGGAGAGCAAAAAATCAGGGCACAATGTGGAGCGTTTTTAAAACGTTCGAGAGAAATCGAAGGGCACTTCGCTTGCGGTATACTTAAAAAGGTGCAAAGTGTTTTAATCCTTAATAATCCTTTTAGAAGCAATGCTACCTATTCTCTGTCGACGGTAGTTGATATTGGATTATGCATACAAAGTATAAACCTATTTATACCTATACAAAAATAATACACACACACACACACTCGTATAAGAGCTTGCGCAAATATTATTATAATTTCTCTCTATATATTATATAGTATAACGTATACGTACCAATAGTCGTGAGTACCGTTGTAGCGAAGTAAAATGCTCCGGCGAACTTCCACTGTTGTCCGGCCTTGTGAGGTTCTGACTTGAGCACAATTGTCTCGATCAGCCGATAGTCGTCTGTGGATATGTTGTACTTGTTGAGGATTATCCCTTCTATGGCTGCGTTAACAAAAAAAAGAAAAGAAGATGACAATGATGATTTTTAATTCAGGAATTTTTATATGAAAAAATGAATACTAAAATCAGCTTAGCTGCCTACGATGAGGTTCTATATCTATCGATTTTAGATTCTCGGTTAGTCTATCACGGGTTCTATGCCATTATTATATTTTAATATGGATATGTGCAATTATGTTATAGGTACCTCAAGGGGGTTATGGTTTAAAGCCTTTTAATGTTAAATTCTTATACTGCAGAAATTATCAGAGACGAGAGTGTATTAAAAATGTTCAGCGGTAATCACCATATTTTTTTATCGTAGAATATAATCGTCTTGTAGGTACGCGGCACTCGCCATAATGGGTGAGTTTGTGTTTCAATACTTCCCAGACTTACTATATATCAAATTTATTATAAAACCAGCCCGACCGAACAAACACTATGCACAGTAGGTACCTATATTATTATTACCATATACGCACACATACGAATACATATTGTATAAGTAGGTACTCGACACTGTCACATAGTTTTTCTCGCGACTCCTTGACCCAGTTATCGCTACGTCTAAGCATTTGTGTATGGATCGTTGACAAAAAGGAAAAAAAAATTCGTTCTTTTTCATGAATGTTTTTTATATCACACCCCTTGGACCGCAAACTTTGTGTAATGTAACCAGAATTCGAACTTTGTCATGCTAAAAATCACTATAGTGACGAAATGAATTCGTATCCAAAGTCTTTTTAAAATGGTCCCTACATTAATAATTAACCACTGCAATATTGTAGTCCTCACGTTAGACACGTCCAGCAAGATCTTCGCATCACACGTCCCACATCACCATCTATCCCCGCATTACCAACTGACACAATATTATAATAATTTAGCCAAAAATTCAGCACGAGTTTTATACTCACTGAATATCTGCAACGTTCAAAAACAAAACTATTTACCACGTGATAAAAACAAATTATAAAATAACCCCCTTTTAGTTACCTATTTTAATCGATTGCTTTAAAACAATAAGCTGATTACAATACTATAATATTATAATATTATTTTACACACATTTCAATGTTGCCTGCATAATACATTATTTATTACGGTTTAATAATTCCATTACGTTCACATGTTGTTCGCGTATTACCAATATTAATTGAAGTATATAGGATGTATAAATTCTGTTTTTGGTGTTTTAATTGAAATTAATGATAATGTTTTTTTTTTTATTATTATCAACCAGTGGACCACATGGAGTTGTTTAGATTTACATTGTTGGCACACTACCAAAGATTTAACATGAACGTATATAAATTATGCTCGGTGCTTTAAGAAAAATCCCTATAAGCCAAAATTTATTGCTTACGTGATCGTAAAAATAATTCTACTACAATATATATACGGTTCTAGGAAATGTATAAGCATATTTTATCATTTTTGAAAATATCTTTTTACAGATACACGGAAAAACGAAATAATTTTGTAATAGAATTATTAAAACTATGAAGAATTGTATGTATTGGGTATTTTTTAATTTTGTTTACAGATATTTTGTAATAAATGATTCCATAAATATTTTCATCATATATTTTAATATTCCACCCACCGTGTGGAAGTGATTTCTTTGAAAAGGAATACGAAGAAAATTATATCTGGTTGATTGTAATATTGTAATAATAAAGTTAAAAAAAATTGGAACCATTTAAATGTATTATAATCCTTTAAATTATACTTGAATGTATATATTATATAAAGAATATAATGGGGTTTCCTGAAAAGTTTTTTACACCTTTCAATTTCACATTGTAAGAATATGAGATAATATTTTATTTTCGTGAAATGCCACGGTTCTGAGAACGGTAGAAGAGATCAAGTCCGCATATGTAATAATGTGTATCCATACTGTGTATATAGTGCGGATAACCGATAAACGAAAAAAAAAATTGGTCGTTAGGTTAACAACAATAACACCTTTGGGTTTTTTAAACAAAATATTCTTGTTGTTTAAAAAGCGAAAATTAAAATAAAAAAATATTAAAACGAGCAGTGAAAATGATTATTTTTTGACATGAATCTATATTATTATTATCATCGTTGTTATTAAAAACGCCTTCAGGTCAAGTAAGGATGTGGCGGTCTTCAAATTCGTCATTTTCTAGCACTGTCGGGTATGAAATATTGTTTTGTCATCTATCTCGGTTTCTCAAACCCATAACCTTTGTTTAACCATAGGAAACCAAAATAAGCGAAACAAAGTTTATTAAAAAGCTCGTCACATTCTACGGGTATACGCTACAACCATCCGCCACCTACCGGCGACCCCGTTTGTTCGGTGCGGTAAAGCCCGGCAGTTCTTGTAGTCGTATTGTCTCATCCCGTTCGCGTATCGGTAATCTAAATCAAAACTCACTGCTATAGGGTTTTGGTGGAGCAAAATGTGCGACCAAAAGTGATTTTGCTTTAGCAAATCCAGCTTGAACACGTATAAGCCACAATGTTTTACACACACATACTATTATCAAGTATATAGATATTATATATAGTCCGGCGATATAAACGCAAAAACGATTCGCTTTAACATACAGTTGATCATCATGGTGAACACCCTGTGTATAAATAGAATCCGTATAACGGCCGATAGTAGATGATAAAGAAAAGTCAACCGATTAAATTAGATAAACTTCTAGAGCCGTTAAACGTTTTTCTATCTATTTTATGAACTTGTAGATGTTTTAAGTGAATTGTTTCACGATAATACTGAAAAATATTCAATGCCTACAATTAAACAAAAAGCGAATATACCTACGCATTATATCGTTTAATAATATAAGAAGTCGTTTGAAATATTTTATTTCATTTAATTTCATTTATTTTGTTGGGACGATCAGACTATTAAAACAGTGTTTCTAGGAAATTATAAAAACCTTATAATAATGCGGCTATCTATTATTGTGCATAATGTTTGGAACATTTAGATGATGTTTAAGTATTTTTTGTGGTTTATATTGATTTTATATGCAAATAACCATACATTTATTAATGCTTATTAATTTAGTTGAAATATAAGTTTTAAATAATACAAATAAATATCTATTTCAAGTATATTATTATAATAATCGAAAGGAAAATGATTTTTAATTTTTGTATATTAAATTGTTTGAACATGCCCAGAATAGACATCAGATATTGTTCAAATTTTATTTTATACAATGTGCAGTCTGCTTTTGTTTAAACGCTAGAGTAATAAAATTTTGATTTGAATAAAATAAAACAGCCGTCCATGATTACCAAAAATATATATATAATATAACGAAAAATAGAGATAACAGCCAAGACATTTTGGGATTCGCACATTCAGACAGATTGGGACTAATAGAATTGGATAGTTGTGATTGTGTCGACGGAAAACAGAGACAAAAGAAACAATCCATAAACAATATACGCACACACTCACATATGTACACATAATATATATGTGTGTGTATGTGTGAGCGTTGGAGTAGATAGCTTATTGAGTACAATGGAGAGTAACTTTATTAAATCTGACTTGAAGTAGTTTTTAAATTGAAAAAAGTTCCTTTGACTTTATAAATTAAGGATATAAACTGCTATATGTATTTATTTATCATATTACTCTTATTTAAAAATAACAAATAATTTGAAAGCATATAATATGTATAGGAACATTAACATTGTATATAACATCATTATAAGTTAAAGAAATAAAAACTCGACCAAATTTTGTACATTAACCAAATAACTACTCAATATAATAATAAAACAAACAGATCTTATATAAAAGATAATTTTAAATAGAGTGCAGTTTTGATAAATTCAGTTTATAAAACACTTAAAAATAATCTAATGAAAAATTATAATTCTTTCAAAATAAAATTGAATGCTAAATGTTTTTTCTATGTGTACATTTTTTAACACTCGAGTATTGGCCTTTTGGGTACTCAGAACAAATATGAGTTTATAGATTTAAAATAATTACAATTTAAGCTGTATATAAATATGTTTATAAGTATGCATAGACATATTGTGCTCACAGACATATGATGAACCTCGAATCGAATAATTATTTAATATGCCTATTGAACGCGTAGATAATCTTGATTTCTGAATAATTCTCATATTTTTTATTAAAATGTATTATTTGGTCACGATTCATAAAATTCTTCCAATTATGAGCCATATTTGACGCATCTGGTCAATTTTGTCTATCAACTATTTAAATAAGCGACTTGTCCCAAATTTTATAGCTTTACGTTCGTCTAAAATGTGCCTTTTTTATTACAACTAAACTTTACAAGAAAAATGCCAAACGTGAAATATTGGATTAGCTACAATTTGTTATGAATGATGTTTTGTTTTCATTATAATATTATTATACATTTACAGAAAGCGATATGGCAGATTTTTAAATTAATGATTTTTCAAAATTAATTTTGTGCAATGTCCATTTATTAAATAATGCTCATTTTATACACTTATAAATTAGTAAGTACAAAATGTGATACCTATTAATTTTCCAGGAAAAATTATACAACGAAATGGTTGAACACTAGTGGGTTCAAATTTTAAATTTGTGGGAACTATCTAATACAGACTAAAAATTATACATAAATAATACAACCAATCGAAAAATTAAAAAACATTTAAGGTTTTTTATAAAATCCAATGCTTAATATAAGTTAAAAGATAATAACTATAATAAGTAGTTTAAATTATTTGCCCTGGTGTGTAATTTGTGTATGGTAAAATATAATTATATTTTATGAAAAATGTGGTAAAAGATTACTATTTTTTCTAGTAAAAATATTATGGTTGAATTTATTCCGAATACAAAAAACAAGCAACATAAAAACAGGTGTATACTCACTAATTAAAAAGTTTTGGAATAATTTAACCCCAATTTAATTATTTAGTGTTATAATTAAAATTCACTACCTATTACCTAATAACTATAATCTTGCTCAATTTATAGGTAATGAGCT